ATAACAAGAAAATGGATTTTTTGCCGCCCCCTCGGGTTTGGGGGTTTCCTTGTCCCTCCCCCCCCCCCCCCCCGCCGTCCCCCCGTCCCCCCGGTGTTTGCCATCGGGGTTGGGTTTTCGTCGCTTGGCAACGACGTTGTAAAACAAGCCGCCCCCCCCTGTGTTTGCCATCGGGGTTGGGTTTTCGTCGCTTGGCAACGACGTTGTAAAATACGCCAATTCACTTCGTGAACTCGGCAACCAGGTTACCGTTTTTTTTTTTACCTCTTTTTTTTTTGCGGTGACCATAGTGGTGGTCGAGTAGATCATGTTGTGCGGGGTGGAGAAACCTCACTCCGCGCAAGGGGGATGATCGCACCACGTTGTGTTAAAATTGTAAAGCATCCTCGAGGCAGTTACACAGTGCTTATAACTGTCTCCGGCAGTGAAAGCACCAGAAAATAAATTAAGTCATACGCATCTGTCATCCGTACGCAAGGAAGTAAGCACAAGATGCCGAACACCCTTAGCAGGATGAAGCTCACCCTTCATGCGACTCGCCGAATACCTCACGGCGCTTCGCGCTTGGTGATGTGAAAGCCTGGTCCGGTGAGAGCCCGGCGTGCTCCGTCCCGGCTTTGTAGGGATGCAAGGTCAATGGTCTAACGACTACGGCATGCCCGACTGTGAGTACCCCCCCCCCACGCGCGCTCCCCCTTTCCCTATCTTTTTGCCCCCTCCACCCCGGTACAGCAACATGTCGTGATTCCGAAGAAGAGCAAAGGGGACAAGGTTAACCTCGAGGTGGACGTGTTGGGCAAGTACATTGAGCGATCTTTGTCGTCGGTGCTCGACCGACTAGGCGCCCTCGAAGACTGGCGAGAGGTCAGTACAATACAATTGTGTGTAGTTCTGCTTCGTCCACGTGCAGCATGTTCCAGACCACCTGTAATGCTTAGTCGTGGAAGCGTCTGTGTACACGTTGCTGTTTGGTTTGAAAGTGGGCGGGCGGAGCGTAGTACTCGAAGCACGATGTTGGTCACACCCGCTGCGCCTGCCCTCGTGCCTTGCTCTTGACCACAAGTGCTGGTAGGTTCAGAGATGATAGATATTGCATGTTGCCAGAAGGCGGTCCATGATAACTGGGTTGCTAACCCTGGGCCGGTGCCCAAGCAGCTCCTTAGCTCATCGCGGCGCGTTTGTTAAATCCCAAGCCCAACCAACAAATCTTAATCATACGCGTGTCGGCTGTTGTATGCATAGCGTTCCACTTTTTCCCCCGTGTTCTTTTTTCTCGGGAAAATATCTGGTCGTTTGTGAGGGCAAAGGGTACCCTCGATATACAAAGGAGACCCAAGGTAGTGGTATGCTAACATTCAATCACTGTCGGGGGCAGGGAGCTTTGTTTCGTGGCATTTGGCAACGAGGAAGTCTCATGAGAGACAGAGAAAGAGAGAGACAGAGAGAAAGCAAGTAGCCCTTAAAAAGTCGAAATGGCCGAATCCACAGCGGGTTTCTTGTTGCCCAACGATCAACAAGATTCACATTCCGCACCCACCCACGTATTCTTAAATTCGTAGACTATTAGGCTGACTCTTGGTAACCGAAAGTTGGCCCGACGGATTTTTTTCGACAGGCATACCCCCACCCCCTGATTTTGCCACGGATTCGACCAAGAGACAGACCTCTCACCACATCACCACAGAGTTCTCCCTCCATGATGGTCGGATCGTCACCAGAACTTGAAGGCTGTACGCACCACACCTGTAGGCGTCTTTGGCCAAACTATCGTATAGAATCCTCGACGGATTCTCCATACGGATTCTTACTTTTGCTCACATGGATTGACATTTCTCAGCACACACAGACCCCACAGCAGTCACCACGAGCTTCAAAGACGCCTACAGGTGTGGTGCGTACAGCCTTCAAGTTCTGGTGATGATCCGACAATCATGGAGGGAGAACTCTGTGGTGATGTGGTGAGAGGTCTGTCTCTTGGTCGAATCCGTGGCAAATCAGGGGGGTGGGGGTATCCCAGTCCAAAAAAATCCGTCGGGCCAACTTTCGGTTGCGAAGAGTCGGCCAGGAAAAATAATTACACACACAGAAAGGCTACCCATTCGAGATATACCCACCACTATTGTTACAGCAGCAGTGGTTACGTCGTCTCTACCTTCATCCACTCGTTTGGGTTGCCGACCTACGTCGTTTTTGCGGCTGCCTGCTGCCCGTGCGCTCTTGATTCAGACCGCGGATCGGAAGCTCGCTTCCTCCAAGGACGAGGCGAAAGCCTCCGAAGACATAGACTTCAAGATCCGCCACGTGGAGCACAAGGTTAAAAACCGCGACATGGTCTTGGACGTTATCGAGAACAGGCTGGCCCGCCTAGAGGCCGCAGAGAAGAAGAAGGCGTAAATAGTTCTTCCGTGATGTAGCCTGATTTAGAGTAGGGTCGTATAAGTTTGACGGGGGTGTATGCATATGCATATGCATTGTGACGTACTATGTTGTAGGTATAGGGCTGGTTGCATGCGTGTAGGGACTTTGTGCTTCATTCTCGGGCGTTTTCCCAATTTTGATCAAGCAAGGACCGAGGGTTGCAACACACTGCTGCTAACACTATTTAGCAGGATATGCGTAAAATAGGTGCGAATTTTTTTCTTCTTGCATGCAATTTTGCTGTAGGCGTTGAGGAATTTTGCAAAAGTATCCCCCCCTCGTCGATAAAACGGTGAAACTACCGAAAGCAAAGCGAGCCGCCCTCTTCCGCCATGGTTGAAGAAGAAGAAGAAAGGCGATAGTCCGTCGAGGCGATTGAAACACAAAAAGCGCCCTGCCCAAGTCCGAGAACTGCTATGGGGCCGTGTTTGCTGACGTGTTCGATGGGCGGGTCGAGTTTCAACAGTAAAATTGATCCACAGCACATATAATTCCGGCGCCAAACAGAGGGCGCGTGTTGCGTGGTACTGCGCGGAGAAGAAGCTGAGATTTTACCGGTCGGTGCAAAGTACGGATGAATTCATGTACGATACGGACAGAAGAATACTAATATGCATACAAAGAGAGACTTTAATGTTGTTGTGTGGAGTGCGCGAAGTGTGCGGAGACAAAAGCTGCCAACGTGCGGCTGTGCTTGATACCCCGTCTTCCGGGTGGTGCTGGAAATCGGAGAGCGTCTCGGAACGTCCGTCGACGGCGCAAAAGCCCAGGAGACAGGTGCGCGGAGCCTCCTCTGAACAATTTGTTGTAGCATACCTGTGGTTCTGTGGTTCGCTCTCCGGCTTATTTCTCATTTCCGCGGCGGCAAGTAAAAAATGTCCCTCCACGGAACCCCCTCTCGTGCGTCTCTGGTCTGCCATACACACATCCTGCCCCGCGGCCCTACAGCCTAGCCTTACCACGCTCGAAGTCGCCTCCAACTGCAGCCTGACAGCCCCTTGCGCAGCAGTCACACAAAAGCGGGAAGGGATCGGAGCGTAGAGGGCAGATATCCTTTGCGCGGTTTTGTTCAGCACACCAGAGAGAAGAGAAAGAGAGAGATAGCGAGCGGGAAGAGAGCGGCGCATCTTTTCGAAATTATGTCGATCTATGTATAGGAGCAAGCTGTGTTGGTGTTGGGTGCGCGATCAGCGTTCGCCGGGCGGCGAAGAGGGCAGCGGCAAGAGCAGCAGCAGCAGGGGCTTTGCCGGGGTGGCTGCGCACGTGGCGGTGCGATGAAGGCGAAGGGCTCGCGTCGGCGCGTGGAGCGCGAGCTCCTGGCGATGCGAGACGAGGCCCAGCAGCAGGCGAGCGGGGGCGCGTATCGCAGCAGCAGTCATCGGGATCGGGGAGCGTCGCGAAAGCAACAAGGTGGGTTTTTTGTGCGCCAAAGAGGGAGAAACAGAGAGCCAGTAGTTGGATACAATCGTTGAAAGCGACGGACTACAGACCGCATGTTTTTTTCCGTCTAGCGGAGGCCGACAACGAAAGCAGCGCGTGCCTCCGCGCGCCGTCACGGCGGAAGATACCTCAGGTGCCCACAAGCGGTGGCAGCGCGTGGTCTCGGTCCAGTCCCAAAAGATGGAATATTTTCGGACGGCTCGCCTATGTGTGTGTTTGCATATTTTAGGTACGCGGCGGCGGTGTGTAGTATGTAGTATATCATTGCTGTGCTGCAGATGCACAGCAATGCAGCGTGTCCACCAAAAACTTGTACTCTACATGTACCTAACACAGAACTATGTGGCGAGTTTTGCGATGTCGTTGCAGATACCTGTTAGGCGCGTTAAGCTCGCGGGATTTCGGGTTTGGATTTTTATCAACGAGGCATCTTCCTCATTTGGGTGCACCCCTCTTCTATTCCATATTTCAATATTGCGACGCCTTTCGCGCACTCGCAGCATTTTGCAACCCTTCCAAGAGCGACCGGTGACGAACGGTCATGCAGCTACGCAGCCACCAATTGGCCCACGGGGCTTGTGCCCAGAGCCATGGGGTTGCTAGTAGACCGAAGAGCTCTGTCTGCTGCATGCGTAGGTGAACGTCTCGCAAGGGATGGATGGGGTAGACTGCAGTCGAGGTATCTGTTGCAAATGATACGCATCGCCAGCAAATCTCGGATCTACCTATTTGAGATGTGGAAGTGACAATATGAAACACCGCTGCGTGTACGTATGTATGCAGTGTGGTCCTTCCCCGAAAATATCAACGAAAGTTAAAGTTTAAGTTTGTCTCGCTAGAGTCTACATGTAGAGGTTTTATACCTTCCCGAGAGTATCTACGTTTTCAATCAAGCTTTCGCCCCACGAACATCTTCTGTTGACCGGAGGCATGGCAGATAACTGGCGAGGACGGGGGCATTTTCTTTTTTCTTTTCTCACTTGTAATAATCAAAAGAAAGGTAGATACGAAATCGTAGTACCCAGTGACTTGCTGATCGAAGTATGGATTCCATGAGAGTCATCAACCCCTCGAGCTGCATAGAGAGGTTCTATGCCAATCGGAAAAATAGGACCCTTTCGGCATGCCCACGTCTTCAGGAGTAGCCTACCGCATCTACTTTGCTATCGAACGGTTAGAATTCGCAGGTAAATCGGTACATTATGCAACTCGTATAGTCTAAGCGCACAAACCGGGAGTTTGACTTGACTACAGCAGTATGTAAGAAACGAAACGAATCCCAGCGGCCGATTGGTTTTCAAACGACTCACCTCTTCGGCGTGTTTTACGCGTCCAATCGCCAGGAACTGCATATATATATCCTTGGCGGGGGTTCTCCAAAAGGGGAGTTGTACACAGCAGTCAGTGCCATGGTATAATATGTACCATTGTTTTGGAAGTTTCACCGGTTCGACAAGTTACTCGGCTTAGCTTAGTCCTCGATCTAGGAAGTGCGTGCGTTGAATGATTTATTTGCAGCGAGGGGGACTGAGACACCTCCAATTGCATCATTCATGTATGCACATGAGTATGCATACATGAATATACACTATTTTGATCGAAGCGCATCTTCCAGGCATGTTGGTGAAGTTGAGGCCTGTTATCTACCCTTCCGGGCATTCGTAGCTCATGCAATTTGTGCTTGTACGTGACTCGATGGGCGGGTGTGATTTGCTGGACAAATTATTTGGTTTTGGCTCGTGTTCGAGAAAGAGACTGCTGTGCAATTCATCACTCTTTTGTCCAGCATTTTTGGACTCCAGTTTCCACTACAATGTATTTACAACGAGAAAGAGGTATGTACAAACAAACGATGCGCGTGGTGTGTTCTTTTTCAGAAAGTTCTTTGACGAAGAAGAGTAAAAAGTGGTTTTGGACGGACGGAGTTCATGACAAGTAAAAGAAAAAGAGAGCACGAAAGCCCTATAAATAGTCAAGAGTCCGGTACCGCCATTCGCCTGCTGTGACAAGTCTCCCTAAAAGCGGTACCGTAAGAGGCAGAGAGATGGCTTCAACCCTCCCAGACCGACTCTCAAAGATTGATTGTGCCACAACCCATTCGGTGCGGACGGGGCCCGATACATGTACGAGATATACGAGATGTTTCCAGAACCACGTATTTGGTGGTGGCAAACGGTCTAGGGGGGGGGGTGGCATCCCTCTGCCTCTGCCGGTATTCTCGAAGATGGGTTGTGCCACCTACGTACGTCCGAAATGGCAGTGCGTTGTACCAGCACTATTGTTGCAGGCATCAATGTTTTGTTCGCGACAAATTCGGAAGGTTGGGTTGGACCCTACTCGAGGCATTTTTAGCGTGTGGGGGGTCTAGGTGTTCACAAAGAGCATCAGTGGTTGAGGCGGTCTGTGGTTTCGTCTTTGGCTAACTAGTGGGTGTTGAGCTCATCCAAAGCAAAGCAGCAAATGCCTCATCGCAGCCGCCGACTGCGCTCGTGTGTCTATCCTAACCAGAAGTCCACGCAGCAAAATTGATTACGAAAACATACGGGATACAGTATTCAATCCGTGCTTTGGGGTGAGGGTTAGGGTTAGGGATAGGGTCTGCGTGCCCCCTCCCTAATATTTTTCTAGATACTCTTATGGTCCTGCGTAGATCCTAAGTCTGACTCTTATGGCAACCGAAAGTTGGCCCGACGGATTTTTTTGGGCTGCCATACCCCTACCCCCCTTATTTGCCACGGATTCGACCGAGAGACAGACCTCTCACCACATCACCACAGATTTCTCCCTCCATGATGGTCGGATCGTCACCAAACCTTGAAGGCTGTACGCACCACACCTGTAGGCGTCTTTGAAGCTAGTGGTGACTGCTGTGGGGTCTGTGTGTGCTGAGAAATGTCAATCCATGTGAGCAAAAGTAAGAATCCGTGTGGAGAATCCGTAGGAGATGCTACACGAAAAATAGGCCAAACTCTTGTATAGAATCCTCGACGGATTCTCCACACGGATTCTTACTTTTGCTCACATGGATTGACATTTCTCAGCACACACAGACCCCACAGCAGT